GAAGAACTATAAATTGTATCATAATAATCTATAGGTCAAAATGAAGCTTATAATAAGAGGAATATAAATACACATAATCTAATTACTGGATAGTTATGCCATAAGAATATATATATGCAATATTAGTCCATTAACAGTCCACAGAAACTGACCATCATTTAATCTTGTTAATTTGTCTGCATTCTGTACAAATCGTCTCAATATTATTATTCTGCCAGAAAGTTCTATCCATTGAACCTATCGACGAATCAACGTTAGATTACCATTGAAATGTTGGGAGAAGTGGACTGCTATTTCGTGCTAGCATGTAACTACTGATCAGTGCACGTTCAGAATCTCGCACACGGCACTCGGAACATAAGATCTTCGTTTACTGAAGAATACTTGACCTCTAGACCCCTGAGTTCTAATCCGATGGTTTTAACATGTAAATTCAACATTGATTGTTTTATGATTTCAATGAAATTCAACAGTCTCCACAACTCTCTACTGTAGATAAGATTTTATAATGACATATTTTATCTACTAGCGGAATACCAAACATGTGTTTCACCCAATTTCTAACTCGTTAGATAGAGACACTTAGATGTCAGTTTGAAAATCTAACCCCACAAATAACACGATCGTTAAGACTAGTGAACATAGTGAATGATTTGAATATATATATAGAGAGAGAGAGGGAGAGAGAGAGAGAGACGAGATGCCAGAAAATGGGATAATATATCACTAGTATAATTATTTACAACATATACTATGCTTACTCTGCAAACATCATTCATATCAGGGCAGATCGCATTTCCGTCAATTCGCCTAGTTTTTATTTTGGCTATACCAGAAATACATGGAAACGTTTCACCATCAACGACGATTTGGACAGTACGTGAACATTTGTACTGAAAAATATCAAAATCAATTTTGCAGAAAGCAGATTATCATATGAATATAATTCGATGGAAGTTTACCAAGTTTAATCCATTAAGAATAATGCTGAGTAATGTAGACTGTTCACTCTATTGATATATATATATGCGATCGAGTGGACGAAGTCAACGGCCTATGCTCCATTGGGAGTAACAGGCGTAAATAATTAAGTAAGTAAGTAAGTAATATTCTATAATCCACTTGATCTGTCTATATGCTTGTTCAGTATCGATGTTTGACATGACTCAAATCGAACGACTTATAGAGTCAAGAATTCAATGCATCTAATCATTTTAGATTTGAAGCTATTCTGATGAGAACGAATGTATCCAGCATTCATGTTAATGTCTATATAACTAATGAATTGTTTAGTGAAACAGTGACTATTACTTATAACCACCATCACTAATTTCTAGATTGTAAGGATTTGAAGAGAATCTACATAACAGAAGAATTTATATTATATCGTTTTGATACTTAATCTCAGATTACCAAAACAATATAAAACTCCTATTCAAGAAATGCTTGGTTAGATCAATTCAGAGAACTTTTTAATACAGGCAAACTACAACTATTGTTTTCCATATGCTCAATAATCACTCCGAGATTGAAAGATAAATTGCCGAGGCTAACCACTTCTTTCTGTATCTATTAATTCAACTGCTCCTGTGGAGTAAGTTATGTTGACAGATGTTCTAGGAATTTGTATATTCGAGCTCGTGAGCACATTCCAGTGTGGTTAAGCCAAGGTGTAGTTAAAACAGTTAACAGCTTCATTTTAGCCCATTTAATTCAGACGGGACATACAGCCAACATGAAGCAATCATTCACTATCATATATTGTGTTAACAGCAGTCTACCTAATTCCGTCACATTGAGAATCTTGCAGAAGGCTGAAGTAATGGCTATTCGAATCAAAAAGCCGGAACTTTGTATCCAAAAAATATGTTCAACTGCTCCTTTTACCCTGGTCAACTAGTTAATAATCAATTTTATAATATGGTGATGTAATGTGACTAATGTTCATTTTTATAGCAATTAGCTCATTTTATAAGTTTTGATAGAAACAATGAGAAAACAGAGTTGATCTGATGAAAATGTGATGTATTTGCGCCATACATTTTGAACAATCTGGTCATACATAGGCAATAGAATGACTAAAGGATTACCACGGTAAATTCAAGGTTACGGCAAATTGTCTTCGTAAACATATGGGGAGGGGTAAATTTACTAATAGCCAAGACTTCAACAAACTTAAGAATTCGTCCTTGACAATATCTATGCAACGTTTTAAAAGCTGTATTATTGTCAATTTTGTGCCCCGTTTCAATTATATGTTTCACTATCGATGAACATGGCTTTCTACCTCTCACGTTGATTGGATAATTTGACACTAATTGGTTTTGAAGCCATCTAGGCACATGTTGAATGATTGCATTGTTCGAATACTCCCCCTATGTATACGTCCACACAAATATGTAAAATGTAAATGCATTGGGATGTGACGTAATCATTTGTGCATTGTTTAGGTCTGTAGCGTTAACAGCCCTGAACAAGTCCACCAGTAGTTGACATGCAGCTGGTGTAAGTCTCTCCTGAAGACGACGTATTTATGTCTCCCAACCGATAATCATTTTGTTACGACAATCACATGAGTATTTCTGGACTCGCGCTTTCATTCAGCATCCAATGCGAAGAGGTATACTAAATATAGATCTCAATACAGGTGTTTTTCTATTCAGCGTATACAGCCTCAGAATTCAATGAGATGTCTCAGCAAAGTTTGTATTACTTTGTTTCAGAAGCGTTGCTGCAGGTCTAATAGCATTTGACCAGACGCTTTCCATAAACTTTAACACGAACAACAGTCCAGTAGCCTTCAATAAACTTACAAAAATAAAGGCCGGACATTGAGTGTTCATGGAAGTCCTTTCACAAGTTCTCAGCTTGTACTTCATAATTTACTATGGTCCATAATTTGAAGAAAATATGCTCTGTCGACAAATACTGATATTTTATATCAATTTTAAGAAATAAATGACCAATTATAACGAATTTAAAACTAGCCATTTAATTGGATGGAACAGAATGAAAAGTCTTGGAAAATCGGACGGAAACATTTTTCATAAAGGATGAAAAAAATACAAAACCGGCAGTGCGTTTAATGATATTCGGATCAATTGACACTAATTGGTTTTGAAGTCATCTAGCATCTAGTCATCATGAGCACACACATGAAATCAATAATATAGTGCTACTGTTGAAGACGTTCGCCATGGATATCCAGTTAATTTTAATCAATTTTTTTAAAACTATTTACTAATTCTAATCATGTTCATAAATAGATGGCCCAAATGCCCAGGTACGACCGAGAGTGGGGCGATACCGCTCTCCCTCTCGAAATGCTCTCACATGGCCACGCGTATATAGCCTCTGCCAGGGAAGTCCTACTCACTGCCTTCTCGTGGCGGGGGTGTTGTTTACGAAAATGAGAGTACGAAAAGCGAATGTCTGGCGCTTTAACCGGATTCCAAACCAATGGGGAGTTGGAAGACCCTGGTTTCAAACCTATGTTGCGTATGGGCTCCAGTATCCTGAGGGAACAAATGGCGTAAAAACCAAACGTTGGTCACCGGCTACCATGGGACTGTATCTCCTTACGATGTTCCACTGCCTTGTGGATCAGACCTTTAGGTCGAAGGCTCCTGGTGTGTACCCATAAGAAAACCATTTGTTTCGGTTTGGGCACCCGGGCAGTATCCCGTCCCTCACACAAATTGAATGAGATTTATGGGGCGCATATGTATTTGGTGCCTCCTTGTACCAATATCTATGTGTTCAAATAAATAAATATCATGAATAGATGGGATAGGAAGACAATCTCTGAAGAAATTCCTATAATATGCAAAACACAATTAATATGAATGAGTAGAATATTCATTTCAATGAATTTCACATCAGATACTTTACAATTATCTTATATCTCAATTAATTATCCATAAAATTGGTCAGGTTGAAGGCAGAGTACATCATTTAAAATTGTAACATTGGGATTAAGGATTGTTTGGGTGACTAATATGAAGTTGTTAACTTGAATCAGTTTATAAGTGAAATGAAATTGTGAGATAAATAATGATCAGAATAAATATAGTCAACATGAGTTGTGTGTGATAGAGAGAGAGAGGGAGAGAGAGGGAGAGAGAGGGGGGAGAGAGAATAATCTAATTACAAATCATTTGGTGTTGTTTTACTTGTATCTTCCTATTGTTGTTAATGTCTGCAATTGATCATCAATCTCTTATTGGCATATATGCATCCTGTACAGACTGCTATGATATAGCCTTAAGTCACAAGCGTTTTAAGTGAAGATATATAGTGGCTAGCAGTGGAATCCAAGACGCGTGTTTCGTCCAATTTGGAACTCGTCAGTTGGGCACATGTTCAGTGACCCTTGATTACATTGTTCGATTACTCCTCTCTATATATGTGTGTCTACACAAACATGTGAATTTTTTAAATAAAATGGGATGTGACATAATCATTTGTGCATTGCCTAAGTCTATTTGGAATCATCAGCTAAAATTTTTCAATCACAACCAATTGAGTAGTATAATAGGTTTTTCTCGATGACTGCTTTCAATCTCTGTCTTAAAACTAAAATAATGAATTCACCTCTATATGGTAAATGGTTATAAAATTTTCTTCTTTGGAACTGAATACATAAGAGGTTTTGGTATGAACTAACTTTTGCACATATTAATAGACTTTAATGGATAACCATTTGCTATTAATGTGTCAGTCAGTAACTTTTATATTTTTTTTATTTTAACACATAGATACTGTTACAAGGAGGCAACAAATAATGAAGACTGAATGAATGTATTGCTTATACTGTAAAACAAATCAAAGAGTGAAGTAAATAATGAGGTTGTCCACTTCATCATAATCTATACGTTTCTTACTGATTATTCTAAAACTGTATTAGTGTGTATCATTTCACCTTAGCCATAGAATGTAATTCATAAATTTAATTTGGATTTTAGTGGAATCTTTATGGAATTATAGATAATAGTTTTTTTTTAAAAAATTACGTCATGACAAGTTGCTTTAACTCGAGGATCTTGTGTTAATTTTCCATTCATTTCAGCTCTCCAAGCTCCCATGTGTGGAATGCATATCGATTTATTCCCAAAAGCTTGACCAAACATATTTCCTCTTTGTGCTAACATAAACATAAAACAAACAAAATAAATGATCGTTATTATTATTAACAATTTCAATTGAGTGTAATGTATCAGAAAGAGTTTTGTAGATAATATGGTAATTTTAATAGTTGAAATTATGAGTTAACTGAAGCTAAACCACTATGGGAAACCTGGAAGTATGGGACTTCTCGGCAGTATGCATCCACGATCCCGCCTAGTGAGATCCCAACCCACGACCTATCAGTCTCGCGCACGAACGCTTAACCTCTAGACCATTGAGCTAGTTGGCATCCAACGGTATTACTGACAAACTTCAACTAATTCACGAAATTGAGCCGCCGTTTACCATTGTCTTCAATGAGTTTCTACCTCATAACAGACCTGGTTGAACTCCACTGATCACTGCTTCTCACTAGAACTGTGGGACATGTAATACATGTTCCAGAAATCATATCAACACATTACGTAATCTTACAAATATAATGTGTTAGAAGTGATCAATATCTATTGTCTGTTCCCTTATGTTTAGGGATTTCTATTTCCTATAAACAGGATTATTTGTGAATAATGAACAAATGTATGATAACTGAAACTAAACGTGGTCTAAAATTGTACTCCATCGTAATTAATAACTAGTAAATTCGATTCAAATCAACCATCGAAAACATCAAATATTAATTTCGTAAAAATTTCCGTTAGGTATCACAGTCCTTAGACTTTGGAATGTAGATGAATTTTGAAATTTATTTATTGTAAGGAAAGAATTCATGTTTTATCAGTGATTATATTTCTGCATATGTTTGTTAAAACTGTCCCTACATAACTGTGAAGAGACCAAGAAAGAACATGAACATTCAATAATTCAATTGACGCACACTGTTCATAGAATCCACTCAAAATGCCGATAGACTTACTAGCAGCCTGAAGCCTCAGTAAAGGCGAGGGTGGGGAGTAGGTTAACTACCTCATCTCATAAAAAAGGACATAGCCAATAAATGCTAGTGAGTCTTGCAGGATCCAATCAAATGTATCAAAACTTTATTGTCTAAAAATATCCAAGGCATCTGAAACTCTAGCTATCCCTGATATTAAACCCAAACTGGAGTGGTAAAGTATTATGTCTTATACTATTCGTTATCGTGACAACAAACTATTATTATTGTTGATGTCATTGTTATTATCGTAACTATTTCAGTTCATCGATATTGAAAATGTTCCCTTTCGGTTTATTTATTTTTCATACAGCCTTTATTTAACTTATAACCGTTTCTTATGTAATTCGCTTAAATCCAACTAACAGTTTTAATTATGAAGACGAAAATATTTCAGTTGTGGTGTGCACTACTGATATCAATCGAAAGTGGAATATCTGGTACCAAAAGGTTGATGAAATAGAAAAAAGAGAACAAGACACAGAGAGTAGTTGTTATGGAAATGAAGGGACAACAAAGTCTGAGACAATTGTTGGGTATTGCGCAATTAAAGCATTTATTGTATGGTTCTCAGACTTTAATAAGATGTTCTGAATTGTTGTACTAAATTACATTTTGTTGTCCCAGCCTGTATTATCTTTCACAATATATTTTTATATTAGTTTAAAGTATGGATCATGAAGACGTCAACATCCGAAGGGAAACACGGGATACAGTGAACTTCTAGGATGCAGTTGGACGATCTAGACTTCGCAGATGATCTGGCTCTTCTATCGCAAACGCAGCAACAAATGCAGGAGAAGACGACCTGTGTAGCGGCAGCCTCAGCAGCAGTAGGTCTCAATATACACAAAGGGAAAAGCAGGATTCTCCGATACAACACAGAATGCACCAATCCAATCACAATTGACGGAGAAGATTTGGAAGATGTAAAAACCTTTACGTATTTGGGCAGCATCATTGATGAACAGGGTGGATCTGATGCAGATGTGAAAGCGCGGATCGGCAAAGCAAGATCAGCATATTTACAACTGAGGAACATCTGGAACTCAAAGCAACTGTCAACCAACACCAAGGTCAGGGTTTTCAATACAAATGTCAAAACGGTTCTACTGTATGGGGCAGAAACCTGGAGAACTACAAAAGCCATCATCCAGAAAATACAGGTGTTTATTAACAATTGTCTACACAAAATACTTCGGATCCATTGGCCAGACACTATTAGCAACAACCTACTGTGGGAGAGAACAAACCAGATTGAAGTGGAGGAAGAAATCAGGAAGAAGCGCTGGAAGTGGATAGGACACACATTGAGGAAAGCACCCAACTGCGTCACAAGACAAGCCCTCACATGGAATCCTCAAGGCCAAAGGAAAAGAGGAAGACCAAAGAACACATTACGCCGAGAAATGGAGATAGACATGAGAAAAATGAACAAGAATTGGATGGAACTAGAAAAGAAGGCCCAGGACAGAGTGGGTTAAAGAATGCTGGTCAGCGGCCTATGCTCCATTGGGAGTAAAAGGCGTAAGTAAGTAAGTAAGTAATGTAATATGTGATACTTATATCGACATAAATAGTATATAGCGCTAGTCAAGAATATAATGTCTGGCAGCAGAAAGTCAAGAAGATCAAGGAGGAAAGAACGGGCAAACAAGGCAATTGCTATAGAAATGCAGGAACAATGAATTATGAGACGTTTGACTGATATTTGCAGAAGGAACAACCAACTCTGAAACAATTGATTGACATTTTGCAATTGAAGTACTGTATGATCCTCAGATTTTACTAAGATGTACTGTAATTTTGGGTTCAAATATATTCCATTATCCCCACTTGTGTTCTCAATATTAACAAGTACAGTTAAAATATCATATAGCATTTTCCCTATATCAACCATTATATGGTTGTTAGCTTACATATACTTCATGCACAATATACATTGATTTGAATGTTATACGATCTGTTGTAAATGACCTGAATAGTTTTGAAAACTAACAAACAGTTAAGACTTAACTAGATGCCTAGAACGTGAGTTACGTATGCCCAACCACCAGCTGCTACGACCGGCGACGTTCTATGGTGTAGGAATAGGTTGGAAGAAAGCTAGGGTCGGCCAGACCAAAATATGGCACAAATTCAATAAGTCAATGACAAGTGGAATGAGCCATGTTAGTAGGTGTAGACTACCTGGTTCCGGGAATCCGCTAGACGATAACAACCGATGGTAAGAGACCTTGAATGATATGGCTCAAAATCGTTTGCCATGGTTCAGGTCCATCCTCACTTTGTGTTCTCTCAAATTCTAATCTTTTGAATTCTTCAAGTCCCCATTTTTCTCCTCTTTCCAAATTTATTTCACTGAATTATACTCCTTGAATAACATCTTCAAACCCTAATCATTCCGATTACTGCTTATACGTTTACTAACTCTACTACTGTGGGATTTGAATAGACAATTGTATCTCTGTGCTAAAGTGGTATACCAACTTGAACTGATATACGTACGTACGAAGTCCTACCTTGTGACTTATTGACCGACTGAGTTAAGGCTCATGTATTTTAATATACAACTATTGTAAACTTTAGCGAACTTACCAAATGGAATATTTAAACGATGATCACAGTAGGTCATAAAAGGTTCTTTGAAAAATGTCTCCATTGGCTGTATTAAAAGAGGGATCATTGTAAACCAAATAAATGACTGTACAAAATTACTAAATGGATTATTTACTTAAAACTAAGTGAAAATAACATTTCGAGTATACGAAGATGATCTATGTGGAATATGTATCCTATTTGATATGAACGTAGAAAGGAAGGCTCAGGAGAGAGTGAGATAGAGAATGATGGTCGGCTCCATTTGGAGAAACATGCGTAAGTAAGAAAGTAAGTAAGTTCATAAGAACAATTGTTCATGAGGTAAATCACGAATTATCTATTGATATGAATAGAGAAACAAGAAGCTATGATAAACTATGGAAGCTATTTTTGGGCACGTTATTTCATTTCATCCAAATCTTGTAAAACAGTAACATTTATTTTTATCACTAGTCTATTCTACACATCATAAGCTGACGTTTGATGTATGATTCAATGCCATAGCCTTTTCTATTCCAAAGCCATTGTAATTTAGACATAATATTTTGTACTCTACTTCCTACTCTAATCCCCAGTTTTGAACATAATTGTATTTTCCTAATTATTTTACGTTGTGGTCAGGTTAGTCATCTATCTTTTACATTAATCTATGAATCGTGATCCAGATCGGAATTGGGAATAAATCAAGTAGTGTTCCAGTTGACTAGTCTTCTTTCTCTCTCGTGCTTGTCAGCCAATCAGGTGATAGAATAGTTCTCTTCACTCTCCACCCCAAGCAGTTAGTCTCACTTCGAACTCACGCATACTAGCATCGTAATGATTTTAATGTCTCGTGATGACTATTCCAAGTCTATTTATCCACGTTTGTTTGACGTTCTATTTCCAACGTTTAACTATTCATACGACTACTAGCAGTACACTTGTCTTCCTACTATCAACATGTATTTCTTACCTTTTATGTGTGGTCACTTATTCTATTTCATTGTGATTATTGACCCATATTGCCTCGAATGATTTAACATTTTCGTATAAATATTCATGTATATTAGAGCAAAGCTTGATGACGATCTAATTGAAAACAATTACCTTACTACCTTGTTGTTTAATGATTTATTTGTCTACTTATTCATTTGAACACATAAATATTGGTAAAAACGGGGCACCGAATACATATGGGCCACACAATTCACTTGATTTGTGAGTGGGCTGTGATACTGCCCGGTTGTCTAGACCGAAACAGGTTGTTTTTCTTAGGGGGACAGACCCTTCGTTGAAGTATGGGTGTCGAGTTAGTGATAAGTTATGATTAGATTTGTGATTTGTAAAGATTGTAGTAACTTGAATAGTTAAACTCATGAGTCGATATATACTAGACTACCATTGAAAACCTGGGATCATTGGACAGCCGTTTCGTACTAGTATGTGAATCTTCAGCAGTGTGGGTCCGCGATTCGAACCCAGGACGTTCAGTCTCGCACGAATATGATTACCCTCCAGACCACTGAGCCGCTATCCAACAATCTTAATCTCTAACTTCCATCAACTCATCAGTGGTTGCTCAACTATTATTATGTTTACAAAAATCTCAGAATTCAGATTTTGAAAATTCAATGTTTCGCTTAGCAATTTAGTCCAAGCATTTTGAAGCAAATTTTTACAAACATAACACTTTTCAATGGTTGAGATCATAAGCACATTGAAGCTAGACCACAATGGGAAACCTGGAGGCACTGGACGGCCGGTTTGTCCTATTTCAGGACTCCTCAGCAGTGAGCATTCACGAACGCGCCTCACGAGATTCCAAAATTTTACGTAAATAAATGATTATCATGAGTTTATCTTGCCATTTAAAGTAATAAATAAAACGAAGATGGATAGATATTTACACTCAACCTATATAGAACATGATTTTCGAACAATTAAGTAAAGCATATTTGATTAGAACTAAACAATAAAAAAATACTAACCTGAACAGTGGGGCATCTATCTGTCAATGTACTGGTACCTCCAACATTAGGATTACCTTTGAAATATTGCTCTTCTGGTGGTAACAAACCCTTATATTTTCCCATAGCACAAATCCCAAAAGCCTTCTTATGATAGCACGTTAAAAAACCCGTTTCATCACAGTAAGGTTCTATGCTTTTCCCCCTGAAATGAAATGGACATTGTAACCACTTAAAACCTATTTAATATATAAACTGAGATTACTGGTAACAAGGTCATGATTTTAAGAATATTAATATTATCAATAACTCTGCCTGCATCCCCTCTGGGGCTACTGCCGGTCCCAAGCCCAGATAAAGGAGGATGGTTGAGCATTGGGTTAGCGACCCCATCCCATAGAAAACTAACTCGCTAAACAAACGCTAACCAGAAAAAATATTATCAATACTATTACTACTAATACTACTGCTAATGAAAATAATAGAAAACTTAGCGGTAAGTTTTAATCATGAGTAATATATTGAAAAAATTGAATAAATCTTACGCTTGCTTCATTCGTGCCATATATGCATAACAGCTTCCCATGACGAAGTTACAGCCTAACTCCTTTCCATAATGCCATTTTGCAGCAACTGAATAATCGACATCCCACCAGCTTCATTCAAATCAAAACAATATATTCAATAAATAAATGAAATGAAATGAAATAAAATGGCAAGACTATAATTTATGGATGAAGCAATCAGATTCAAGATAACAGTTCACAGATTTTGGCGCGAATTTCACACGTCCATTTGGATAAATAGAGTTTTGGCATAATAGCTAATGATGAAAACCATAAATCTAATTCCTAACGCTATCCACCAACTGTCAATCATAATTGTAATTCCTCACACTGGTTAATAAACCTCATTTGATCTTAGTTATAAAGTGAACACTCTCAAGGTCAGTTTAGCATCACTCAGAGGTTGTTCATCAATTGTAATCTCATCTAAATTTGCTTTCTCGGATGTTGATTGGAAATTGAGCTAATTTAACTGTTTGAACAAATCAGTGGTAGGAATTGTTCAGTTGATACATCTTATGTCATATTACCATAAAACAAATTTGCGAAATGATTCAAAATACACAATAAATTATCAGTATAGGGTTGTGGAGACCAATAAGTTTTTGATCGAGATCATAAACCGATTGATGTTAGATCACCATTGAAAACCTGAAAGCGTTGGACGGCTGTTTCGTCCTATTGTGGGACTCCAGAGCAGTGCGCATTCACGATCTCGTTCTCGCGCGCAAATGCTTAACCTGTAGACCACTGAGCTGGACGGCATCCAACGGTGTTAATGTCTAACGTCAAACAATCCACGAAATTGTGTGACCATCCTCCATTGTAATGAGGTAGATACCTGTCTCTACCTGACACGGATTAGCTCCACAATAAATATACTCAAGATTCTCGATTGAAACATTTACGATACATTTAATTGTATTAATTTACCCTGAATCCGTGAAGAATGCTAATGTTAATGCTGAAAGTACACTTTTCACTCCTGTCTCACCAGCCATTGTTTCATCCTGTAATAAACATAAACAAAGTGAACAGAATTAGTCATTCGAATTACATCATCAGATGGTGCACGTTTCTAAGTTCCCGTACATTTTAAATATTCATTCAAACAACCTGACTTCCCAACAAACATCCAAATTTAATCATCATATCATGTTGTTTACTTAATAATTAGAGAGTCTTTAGTATAGATCGAATTCCATGAATTAGTTCACGATGTAATCCTTAATCTAAATAACCTGACATCTCATGTTTTATGTTTCGATAATTGACGATTGAGAGCATTCGACAAGAAGATCTAGACTTAAGTTTCACGCTAATTGACATTTTTTCAGCAAGGTGTAACACCAGCTCAGATCCCAGAAAGATAACATTTTAATCAGAATTATGTATGTCATTCCATCTTATAAGTACCGACTATCAGGAAACATCAATCTTGGATTGTTATCGAGTCTTTTTGTTCATATTACCACATCTTCTGACTTTCCATTGTGATACGTTAAATCAAATAACAGTACAATATAGGCTACTGAATGATAGGTCGTGGGTTCGAATCTCGCGAGGCAGGATCGTGGATGTGCACTGCTGAGTAGTCTCACAATAGTACGAAACGTCTGTCCACTCCTTCCACGTTTTCCATAGTGGTCTAGCTTCAAGTGAATCACGATCTCAACTATTAAAGTTACTTCACAGTAAATCAGACGAGTGGTGCTACTGAAACATTATAACAGAAGGACCAAGAGACGATTACAAAATGACCTTTCGCTACAGATAAATAATTGCCTTACTTACACCAACTGTTCGTTTATCAAAATGTGAACCAGCTGTTCCTTCTCCTCCTTCATTCTCTATATCGATCCCATCCAGGTTAGGGCAGTTATAATGTTTGCGTCCTACCGCCTAAGTGAGAATAAATAATTTTTTGATTGAAAATAATTTCTTATCAAATCAAATTATACGTATTAAGTGAAATAAAATTTTCATTCAAAAACATTCATAGTTAGGTATATAGGGTTGAATATAGTAGTTGGTAAAAACGACAGGGTGTATGTACATTGGCAAATGGAATATTTCGGAATAGCATAACGACAAAAGAAATATCTAGATCAAAGAATGAAACTGAAAGTGCTAATATCTGTTATTAAGTCATCTGATGTTTTCTATACACTTTATGTGAATATAAGTTGAAGTAGTATGGCTTAATTTATAAAATTGATACTTATTCGATAATTAATTCTTAAAATGCTTCAAATCTTTGAATATATTTGTCAATCTAGAATGTTTCAGTTCATTCTCAAGCATTGTGAACACTCCTAGATTCTAGATTCAACAACAGCCTACTGTGGGAGAGAACAAACTAAATTCCAACTGAAGAGGAAATTACGAAAAGACGACGGAAATCGATAGAACCTACATTACGGAAATCATCAAACTGCATCACGAAACAAGCGCTAAATTCGAATCCTGAAGAGAAGCCGAAAAGAGGACTACCAAAGAACACATGACATCTACAAATGGAAGTAGATATGAAAATTATAAACAAGAACTGGAAAGATCTGGAAAGATTTGTCCAGGACAGGATTGGATGGAGAATGCTGGTGGGAGGCCTATGCTCCTCTACGAGGAATAACAGGCGTGTGTAAGTAACTAAATAATTAATTAGTTTATGAGTAACGAATACACATTTCGATTGCACTGAGTGTTAACTTGACACTAAAACTTACCAGTAATGTCGGTGTAACAAATGATGAGAAAGTTTTTATAAAAGATCCAGCCGCTGTAAGCCAGGGACGAGCAATTCGTTTAACAGTAATCTCACTGAAATGGAACACAAAACGTTTATTTAGAAAATGTAATATGAAGACATGATTGAATATAAGTTGCGTAGAAATAATATTTACGTGTATTTTAGCATTTTGGGGGGGTGTAAGTTGTCTTTTCTTTTTACTGTTTATCTAACTAATTCATCGTTGAAGGGGGGGGTTGAGCATGGAGTTAGTGACTAACTCGCTAAAAAAACGCTAACCAGCTGATCGTTTAGTTGTCGCCTATTGAGAAATATGTTTATGTAAACGTCGTGAGTGAACTAACTTTCAAATTATATTAAGATCATTATTAAGTTCAAAGTTATCAACGTATAGACCATAATAACCTTATTACTTCCTCTTGAACTTTGATTATCAAAATGATCACGTCTAATAGATATGTTCGATAAGGAACTTCTATCAATTACTGAGTTTTTCTCAATATAATCGAATTTTTCTACTTCCAACATGTGTATCTCGTCGTCACAATAACATAACGATTGTATATTCACTAACTCACTTCAAATAGAGGAACTATAATCTGTATATTAGAGAACTGATATTAGTACCTGGTTCCTTATAATATTCTCCTATTTAACTGAGTTTAATTACTTTAAACTTATTTCACTCACCTCTTCAATTAAAGCATCTTTCTTAAGTAGGCGAAAATACATGAATCTGTAGTGGTGAATGCATATACTCAAATATTTTCGATTCATATTAATCTCCACAGGATCCTTACTCATCTTGTTGTGCTAATGAGGTATGACAACTTGGACCGCTGTTTATATGTGCCTTGTCCTACGTTGTGGCCGATTGACTGACTTACTCGGAACAGTTCTTAGTGTTTCAACTAATGAATTTTTCGAATCAAGAATCGTCTGCAGATTTAGGTGATAAAACGTGAACAACCAGTTGATTTGTGGACTATACTTATCGTTGAAAAGAAAATGTCATCTAATAGTTGAGTGAAGCAAAGTTTGGTTCACTTGATTATTATAAATAACATACTAGAAGACAATAGAAACTGATAAAGAACTTTGAAAAGAGTTAGGATAAAACTAGAATCACAAAACAATAAGTCACCTTGGATCATACTGCCTTTGAGGATTCAATGGTGGTTTACCTGTTCTGGGATCTCTTGGTGTTAATGGTCTGCCATCTCGATCACGCATCAAAGCGTAATTCGACTTAGAGAATCCCTAAAATGTTCAATAGTTTAATTTCAGTAAAATTATAATAAATGTAAGAATAGGAGGTTTAACATGGTGATCTTTCAAGTTCTATGTTACAAATTATTATATAATGACCTGCCCAGGACAGACTGGGTTGGAGAATGCTGGTCGGTGGCCTTTGCTCCATTGGGAGTAACAGGAGTAAGTAAGTAAGTAAGTAATTTCAAAGAGCCTCATGATACTTATTAAAACAATTATGCGATTTACAAGAAAAATGACAATTAGTATTGAAATCATAGGCTGGTGAACGATATAATCAAAATTCTATTAAGACAGTGTACAGGATGTGAAAAAGTAAATTACTTTAATCAAATAGTAAATTATTATTATTTGTGGAAACACATAAACATTAGTATAAGAAGGCAGCAAGTAGATATGCGCCGCATAAATCTCATTTGATTTGTGTGTGGGCTGGGATACTTCTCGGGTGCTGAAACCGAAACAGGTGGTTTTATTAGGAGGCGATACCCGGAACCTTTGACCTAAATATCTGATCCACATGGCAGTGGATCAACGTCAGGAGATGCGGTCTCTTGGTAGTCGGTGATCAACGATTAGTTCACACGCCATTCATCCTCTCAGGATCCTGGAATATATGTGCAGTATTTGTTCGGAATCAGGGTTTTCCAACTACCCTATATGGACTCTCATTGTTCACCAACCCAGTTAATGCGCCGAAAATTCGCATTCCGTACTCTCAAACTTGCAATCAACACTCCCACCGTGAGAAGGTAGTGATTAGTACTTGCCTGGTAGTGGTTGTATGCACGGTTGTGATAGTATTTCGAAGGAGAGAGAGAGGGAGCTGGCTCTCCCCACTCTCGGCTGTATTAGAGCACATGGGGGCTGTCAACGAGAAATGATCTAACATTTTCGAAATGAAATTTATTATTAACCTATTTTCGATATGATGTAAGTTTAACAAAGCAGCTTTCGTTTAAATATAAACACTCACCAAAGCATGAGCCATTTCATGAATAGCTGTACCAAGCATCATAGTTCTTCCTGATTCTTCTATTTCCATCTTTTCTGGACAGAAGTTGATCATTCCCATAATTGGTCTGAAGTTAAAATACATATGGAAATTAAATACAATATGTTACCATAACATGTTGCTTATGTAGACAGATCTTGTGGTAGTACATTATTCTTATCAATTTGGTTCAATAATATTATGTTTCTTATCAAACAAGTTGACTAATTCCTCTTATCTTATGTATTTTTCACTGTGAATTTCAATGATCCGAACCCTATTTGTTAGCATATATATTCAGAATATTTTCAAATTAAATTAAATTATTGAGAATTTAAGTAAAGAAGAAAGGAATGGTTGTCATTGACGGTGCTAAAACCCTTCACTCTCATCAATTATGAGGACACATACAATAGTAAACTGTTCGCTCACTTTACAAATAAAAATTTAATGTCAACGTTTAAACGAATTAATTGTTTTCTAATCTTATGATCCAATCAAATGAATAATTACTAACCTGTCAGTTGTAGGGTGCGTTTCACATGCACCAGCATAAGCCAATGTTCTACCTGATAAGCAACCATGTTCATTCACACTTGAGACAAAAACAACATATTGATTTGGTGCAAATCCTGGACCATCTCGATAAACTTCTCTGAGAGATCCAACACCAGATCCTACAGAGCATCCCTATTCATTAAAATGGAGAAAAAAATACTGATTATTAAAACGTATATAAATATAAGTACACTGTTTTCTGCACTACTGTCTAGTGCTTCACTCAGTTACACATAATACTATCACTACTTCAGGTAGTTCTGTTTCACACTTACAGTCCAAATATGATGTTACGTTTAGTTTCAGTATTAATTTTTCTCATGTTCGTGTTGACTCAACTTCTAGTTTCAATACAGACGTAGTCAGTTAACATCACAGTTTTGATGACTCCTTAACGACAATAAACAAACGGCAGGTGAAATGCCAGATAGTCACACCATTCAAAGTCACTAGATTACATTGTAGTTGATGAAAGAGCTTACGAAATGATAGTTGATGATCAATGGTAAAAGACATCAGCTCAATTAAATATTACAAACCACATAAACTCACTGAGCGATAATCCGAGGAAATCACTTACATCCAGGAATACATCATGTCATTATAGTTCAAGGTAACTAAACTTCTCATAATGATAAGCTTGGTGGATGGAACTGCAGTGTCAGTTGCTAAGCAAAGCCCACATAGCTTATTCTAGCTTCCGGATAGGCCAATTCTTGAGTCACATTTTGACCTTGTGAATTATTCACTTATCGACCTTGACTGTTTTTATGTAAGCGTATTTGTGTGCATTTCCTATCTTACTCATCACATGTCTGTAGCTTATTTTTGTTTGAATATAAATATTGATCTACGCTTTACTAAATCAGGTTGGCCCACTTACTTTTTCTAATCTGCTTCGCTCTCCCCTCGTTGTTTCGTCTCCCTGATTGCCTGTTCAAACCAATGAGTGCATGAAATGAACATATTCCAAATCGATTCTCGTATATGGCTTATTTAATTCTGTTATTGACTAACGCGGATTAGGTCGATAATTACACACGAGGATAGCCGACATTTCAACAGCAATCCTTCAATAATAATCATTTACACCATCTAATTGGTGTGAGATTCAGGTTCACTAAAATGATCAGCCCGTCAACAACATCATCCGATCTAATTAATGTCAAAATAACAGGTCACTGATTCATTCAAGGTGATAATTCAACATTTGTGTAATAAACTACTGTCAGAATCGAAAACCCCGACAATATTTGCAATTGTTCAGTACCGTTGTTATTTCTTAGTTCGGTAGGTTTATCAGTCTTTCTTATCGTGATTATATACACTCGTATATCTCAACTGTACAAAAGAACAACAATAAAATCAGCAGTGTGTTTATTCACTAGTGACTAGCTTCATGAAGGAATTCTCAGAGTTCTAGTGTGAAGCCGTTACCAGTGAAGCTAATCCGTGTCGGGTAGAGACAGGTATCTACCTCATTATCATAGAAGGTGGTCGCGCAATTTCCTGAATTAATTGAGGTTAAACATTAACACCACTGGACGCTGACTCAGTTATCTAGAGATTAAGTCATGCGTTTGAATCCCGCTTACGGGATCGTGAATGCCCATTGCTGAGCAGTCCTACTGTCTTATTCTCAGTTTAGTTTATATGACAAGGGTGTTTCAAGAAAGTGTATAATTTATTCAAAGATTTAATTCTAAACAATCTATGGATAAAACTTGATTAGTTTTATATCAAAATTGTAAAACATGATGCCGTATATGTACTCATCAGTCATTAGATACTTATATCTCGATTACAAATACATCATTGTTATGACATTAACTTCATTATCTGATTTAGGTTACATAAAAATGATTGAAATCTTATTCTGATGCCTACTAATTGAAATATTTTTGACTAAAACTTACGGAAGCATATTCATCTGGAATTGGATGGTTGTAGCATGTAGCTTTTGGTTTACATTGTGATTTACAAAATATTTTACCCGTTGTTAAATCTCGGAAGAATGATTGTTCAACACATCCTCTGAAAGAATAATATCAAATAAACAATAGTTAAAAATCAATCAACATACTGAAATGGTTTATGGTGAGATGAGTAGAAATGAGAAGAAAAACTCCATAGTAATCTTGTGGATATCATTCCAAACTGATACGGAATATGGGAATTAGATTCTTGTTTGAAGTATTGATCATCATACAGTTCATTAGAATGAAATTTGAACGAGGTATTTTCTATTCATAAATAGATAATCACTATTTCATAGTAATAAGATCGTCTTAAATTATAAAAAATAATTGTAAAATTCCTCAAAATATCAATATGAGAAAGGGTTTTTGTGGACGTCCATTTAGTCGTATTATCGGACTCTTTAGCGGTGCGCATCCACGATCCCGCCTCGCAAGATTCGAACACACAACCTTCCAGTGCTTCTAGATTTTCTATGGTGGTCTAGCTTCAATTGATTCATGATCTGAACGATTAAAATTGCAAAATTTGTCCTTAAACACCTAGAATTGTACTAATAATTATATACTAACCTTTCTGCAAGCAGCTTTCTGTTTGGTGGTCTTCTGACACTCAATGCTCTCTCCCAGAATCGAAAAGCTACATCTATTACTTCCCTCTAATATAAAGAAACAAAATAAGTTAAAATACTTTGAATGTTTTATTTAAGTAAAACTAATTGCTTATAAAGTTGAGCATTTCAAAGATTCCCGTATCCATCTTCACATGATGTAAGTAGAATAAAAAACAACAGTTTTTTCCTTTCACAATATAGTTGGTGATGGACAGTAGTCAACGATTTCCAGGAATAGATAGTTAGCTCTGAAAAAATACCTATTACCATTCAAATTATTCACTTTAATAGATGGATATTATAGTGAAACCATGCGTGTTAATACTTACAAAGTCGATGAATCTTCTACAAAACTTGGATTAAATTCAAATCAGTGCTCAAATGTAATTGGTAAATTGTTCTATAACCAATGTGAGTACACTTCATTGTGCTAATTCTGTTAAGCGTAGTGATAAAATAAACAACCATAATACCAATAATGATGACAACATGTTATGAAACATCATATAATATCAATATGATGATACACCTAAGATATATATAGTCAACATAATCAATTTAGAAACAACTATGGAAACCCTGGTAAAATTCCCATTACTATTTTATAGACTATTATTATGGTATTCATTCGTCCAACTGTTTCCAGATATTTCTCCGACCATCTTAACATCAGTGTTCACACTGAAATATCCTGACAAGTCTACAATGAAAGTTGATTTCAAACACGATCAATGTTGTTCATCCTTGATTCAAATCCAATAATGAGAATACTACTGGCAAGAATTTCTATGGTTGAACTAGGAGATTGATCGACATATTATTTAATGCATTAGCAACGTATCCACACAATGATGACACAAAAAGTGCTTCACGTGGTTCATTCAACAAAATAATTGATAAATGAAAGAAGAAGTGAACAACAGTAAACACTCTTACCTTGAAATCATTAAATAATCGGTGCCTTCGAATACTTTCTGCATATATCACAACAAACTTCAGTCCATTACCTCCATATTGACGTTTATCAATCGGTTCACCAAGGACACCGGTATTCTGAAGAGATATTCTCTTAAAAATAATCATACTTACCAGAGTGATGTTTGGCATAAGTTGACAAATATATTCATTTCTAACAAATGCCAGTAAGCAAATAAAGCATAGAAACACTAAGATATGTCTTAAAGAATATCTCATTCTCATTGAACACTTTGAACTCAATTGAATAGTAATGGATGGATGTGATGAATTTCATGAATTCATCATCTTGTTTATATACTTAAATTAAATGTTCATTCATCAATGAATAACTGGTTAAACTAACATCGGTTTCAAATTACTTTTGTTAATAAATATAACCTTATAATATTTGAATGTGATATGTCCTTTATTCAAATCATTATACAATTTTGATACCTCTTTTTTTCTTTAAAAAATAATGAAACTCCTTTTAGGAAACTATAATAGTAAGTAGTGTGTGTGTTTGTTGACTTATCTACGTGATGAATCCATGAAATTTACATTTACAATTTGAGTTCAAAGAAAGAAAGAAGAAGAAAACAAAATATTCTAAGGGTTCATCACTCAGTTAGAACCAACAACCTACTACTGTTTTATTTATTTTTTGATTAATAGTAAATTTCTTAATCAAAATTCACTTTTACATCCTCTTTGAAGCTTCAAAGCGAATCAAATTACATGATTGTTTTCCAATCAAATTAGATGAACAATCAGTAATACTGAATGAATGAATGAATGATAGTGATTATGAATGTATTTATCTGTATAAAATGGGATAATCTTATTGTGAAACTGATTCACTCTAGTTGGTCACATGAATCTTTTAAGGTTTATTCTTAACTCATTGATCGTTTGTAACTGAATAAACAATCAACACGTTTCTGATTAACTTCCCAAGACTTCAATATTTTGTACATTTTATATGTGAAATAAGATTGATATGATTCCATTATAGCGCCGCACATGGGTCAGTGGATTCCATAGACAAGTGGTGATGGGTCGTAAGCGCAAAATAAATGAAGCATTGCTTCGCATGGACACAAAATCCAGGCTTTCCCATTAGCAGTTTCATGTGGCGGTTGCGCAACATTGCAAATATCACAAAGTCTGTTGTCATACGCGTTCTCGTTATTGTCGTCATCTCGTTCAGTGAACTCCTCTAAGTATAAATAATCTGATAGTGAGAGAATCACATTAATCGAATAATTGTAAACAAAATATTTGGTTATTAAACAACAATAATGTTTACCCCAATTGAAATAACTTAAGGCAAAATTAGATAATTTTGCAAACAGATATTCTCGTGGGATGAAAATTTTTGTATTTTATGTGAACTGCTGAGGAGTTTACAGTAGGACGAAATGGCTATCTAGTGCTTCTAGGTTCTTCATCGTGGTCTAGCTTCAATTTACTCATGATCTCAACTATTAAAATTACTATAATATCCACAAAACGCTTTCTGATATTATTCCAAGTAATTTGAATATAATGATAAAGTAAACAATGAATATGAGTAATGTCTAGGATATAAATATATATATGATACTACTAGTTGTACTAAGGTTTTATATTAATAATATTTAAGATCAAACTTCATAGATTATAAAATCTGTTTTTCTACCATCTCCTAACAAATACTAATCATCAGTTGTATTCAAACAGTTAGCTTTTCATTATGGGCTTTAAACTAAGAAATTTAGTATTATTGTATAGCTCACAATGATATAGAAATGTTCAATCATACATTGGGGTATGTTCTACCGACAACAGTTATTGATTCAGTTGTGTAACGCCGAAAAAAAATTATTTCCACTTACAAATTCAATCAGTGTGACAAGAAAAGAATTTGTTCTAAGAGGTGAAATGAATTTTGATAACTAAAAACACCGTATTCGATATTTTACGAATGTAAGTCAAATCCTCCTGTAGCCCTTCTACAATTATTGCCGGTTCAATGCACGAATGAAGGAAAAACGTTTAGAGTCAGCTTACAGTAACATGATTGGAAGTGGAAGCATCTAATTTCGCAAACGTATACACAAATTTACATAGGCTACACCACGGGGAACTAGATCGACCACATCTGCATCAATAAATATTTAGGTCTATGGAAGATGTAAGGGCAATGAGAGGAGCTGCTATAGCTTCAGATTATCAACTACTGGTGTTCAAGCTAAAGCTGAAGCTATTAAAGTTTAGTATCCGGTACAATGTTACGTTCACATGGGTTGTTCTAGCTTGCGGACAAACCAATTTATGTATTTTGCTCAAGTTATTATCCACAAATATTTTGACCTTGTTAATTAGTCGTGTATAACCTCTGCTGTTTATATTTGAGCGTGTGTATGTATCAAATACTCTACTCATCGCATGATTTGGCTTGTTTCTGTCCGACTGTATATAGTAAGTCGCGCTTTATCAAATACAGTTGGCACTCTTGCCTTCTCCTGTTCTCTTCGCTCACTTTTCAGCAGTTCAATTTTAATCTCTGTTTTAGTAAACGCATGCCTGAAATAAATCCACCTAATTTAATTGATATTTCGCTTCTTCTTCTTCTTATAGCCGTCGCACTAACAGGGTTAGCCTAGGCGTGATAAGAGAAATCAAAAGGAGGCTTTATCTTTATGGAGCATTCATTAGTTCATACACATCGAAGTCAGATCGTGTACCACTAAAGAAGAATACGATAATTGGTTAAGTAGAATTACAAAAAACTAATACAACGTTGCTTTGAAATGATAAAAAAATTGGCAAACTAAAGATAGGTCACAAAAACAAGCTCCAAGTCTTACAAGATCTACTATAATGAGGGGAAACCATAGTAAAAAAACAACTGGAAAGGGTTTAAGGGAACAATGACTTCAACATATCATGAGATATAGGTCCCAAGAAGCATCAGAGAAGACAATGGATTTTTGTAAACAGCCTGGATGGGATCTAAGGAAGGAAAAGTGTTAAGAAAGCAGTGCACAACAATCGAATATATACAGAGAAAGTAAAGCTACAGGCCGAATATACGGAAATAAACAAACAAGTAACGAGCAGCATTAGAACTGACAAGTAGAAATAAGCGAGAGACTTAGCAACTACAACAGAAGAAGCTATAAGAGAAGGGAACAAAACAGAATTATGTGATGCAACTTAGAAACTTGCAAATAAATATAGCGAACCAGAGAGATCAGTCAAGAGCAGCACAGCTGGTGGCAAGGTAATTTTGAATAGCTCTAGAACACGTGAGCATCGCTGAACCCACAGGAAACGGAAGAGAAATAAAGAGACATCCATGTGGACGACATCTAATCATCGGTGGAATAAATTAGCAAAGCCATCAGACAAACTGAAAGTGAAGTAGCATTAGATCAAGCACATTACTCTGGTTGCAACGTAATAGAGAGTGTAGTGGAGGACACTTACATTATGGGCTACTAGAATTTTGACTTATTCTACATTTTTCATTCGTTCACTACCTACCTGCTATTCTTCCCGATGTTTCTCGTTAGAAAAATGAAGCAGGTCATTCTATATAATTTTTCGGCGTGCTTTACAAGGAAGAGTGGTGGATCCTTAAAGAGGTCCATCTATAGAAAACAAATATGGGATGGCTAATTAACCGAATTCTATAGCTGTAATCTTATGCACTTCCTGTTTTACCATCTATTTGGGATGTGTAGTATCGAATGCTTTCAGGAAAAACTTCGTTTCCTCAGTGAAATATTAACTCAAAACGGTTATCCTAGTCTCTTCGTAGATAAAAATTCGAGGGAGAGTCAGAACAAGAAATCCAGATATCCCTTCTCAAAGAGGCGATCAAACTTCTGATGTACTGAAGAATAATTTGTTCAGAGAAATTAAAGAAAGGATTATATGCAAAATGGCTACGACTAGCAATCACTAGCAGGAATTTATTTTTAGCATGCGTTAAGTATAAGCTTTGTCATCTCAACTCCTCTATAGAGATTTACAAATTTACCTGCTCATATTGAGCAAGGTACATAGTCTGTAGCCAGAGATTGTCTCCAACTTGAGTACAACAAGATATATCAGTGTAGTTCTACACAGATAAGAGGATAGTAGTCAGGAGTTCTATTCTTGAATATTTAATAGATTCTGATCACTCCAATGATCGACAGGTTGATATTACCGTTGTCCATAGAATCCGTCCAACTCTATCAATATTTCATTTTATTCAGCCCATTAAAATAGAAGAAGCTCTTGCCTTCCATGAAATTAAGCTGTAACTGTGTGTAAAAAGAAATGATTTCTATCGATGTCTTTTCCATGACCTTAAACTATTATTATCATAATTTTATTTTTATTTGATGAATTTGGAATTTGGAAACTACTCCTCTCTCTAAATTCCCTTGGTGTTGTTTGGTTGTATCTTCACATTGATGTTTATGACTCCGATTAACCAGTCTCTTATTGGAATATGTGCATCCTGTGCAGATTGACTTGATATTGCCTTAAGCCACAAGTTCTATAAGCAAAAATGAGTAGTGGCTAACAGTAGGACTCAGGAAATGAGTTTCGTCCTATTCGATACTCGTCGGCTGGGTATACCTGCACCCGAGTTGATATTCACTACAGGGCTCGAACCCAGTACCGTTCGCTTTAAACGCCATTGCGTTATCCACTTAGCTCCTCTCTCTAATAATTTCTCGTGTCCCCTTGAGTTTGATTTATAATTTTCTCTGAGGTTATATGATTAGTGAATAAACATATATAACTTAAAAATAAATTCGTTAAATAGAGGAACCTTAGCTGAACTTCCTCTTCAATATTTAGACGATAATTATGTCTAATTAATGTTTTCTCCACTAAGTATTTTTAAATCATATATGTTTACTAGAAGCACATGTTGTAAGTCGGTCATTGCTCGAAATGTATTAACTCTTTTTAAATGAAGTAATTAGACTTGTAATTCTATAATTAGTATTTTTGATTGAGATTATGGACCGATTGATGTTAGATCACCATTGAAAACCTGGGAGCACTGGACGGAAGTTTCGTCCTATTGTGGAACTCCAGAGCAGTGCGCATTCACGAAACTGCTCGCGGGGTTCAAACACAGAGACTTCAGTGTCGTGCGTAGATGTTTAACCTGTAGACCACTGAGCCGGCCGGCATCCAACGGTATCAATGTCTAATTCCAACCAATCCACGAAATTGTGTGACCATCTTTCATTGTACTGAGGTAGATACCTGTTTGTACCTGACACGGATTAGCTTGTGATGTAGTTAAAATTGTTTAAGTTGATGATAATGATTTATTAAGAATCTATGGTCTCATTTAGTTAGTTTTCAGTGAGTTACATTTCATTTGTAATTTGATTTATATTCTTCAATTTATCATGAAACTTGAAATTAAAACGCTCTTGGATTGACTTGATCTCTGTCAGCTTCCGCCAGCAAAAGGCTCTTTACTTACTTAATTAAGTACGCCTGTTACCCTCCAATTGAGCATAGACCGCCAACGAGCATTCTCCAACTCACTCGGTGCTCGTCCTTCCTTTCTACTTCTATCCAATTGTTGTTCAATCTTCTTATGTCTGTCTCCATTTCTCGATGTAATGTTTCTTTAGTCTTCCTAGCCTCCTTTGATGATAAGGATTCCAAGTTAGGGCTTGACTTGTGACGCATTTCGGTGCTTTCCTCAATGTGTGTCTTATCTACTTCCACGGATTCTTCTTGATTTACTTTTCCTCTGGAATCTCGTTTCTTCTCTCCCATAGTAGGTTGTTGTTGATAATGTTTGGCCGAACGATCCTAGGTATTTTGCATAGACAACTATTAATAAACACCTGTATCTTGTGGATGATTGTTTTGGTAGTTCTCCAAGTTTCCACTGCATACAGTAAATTTGTTTTGACATTTGTATTGAGAATCCTGACTTCGGTGTTGGAGACAGTTGTTTTGCTTTCCAGATGTTCTTCAATCGTAGATATGCTGCTCTTTCATCGGATCCGCTATGTTCATCAATGATGCTACCCAGGTATGTAAAGGATTTTACGTCCTAAAATTCTTCTCCGTCTAGTGTGATTCGATTGATGCATGATGTGCTGTATTGAAGAAACTTACTTTTCCCTTTGTGTACATTGAAACCTACTGCTGCTGAGACTGCTACTACACTGGTCGCCTTCTCCTGCATATGTTGTTGCGTGTGCGATAAAAGAAAGGCTCTTTAGTTTCTTTTCGTATATGTAAATATTCAGGATTATTGAAGGCATTCAAGTAATTTCCAAAGATTTCATCCTGACATTTTCAAAGAGGATTTGACAATCAACATGATATCAAGATAGTTTTCAGTAGAATATGATGCCTTAAATTAATTAAAGGATATGATAATTTTGAATACTTTTACCATACCAACAACCTTTCTATTTGTTGAAAATAATTATATCAATCTTATTTCACATATAAAATGTACAAAATATTGAAGTCTTGGGAAGTTAATCAGAAACGTGTTGATTGTTTATTCAGTTACAAACGATCAATGAGTTAAGAATAAACCTTAAAAGATTCATGTGACCAACTAGAGTGAATCAGTTTCACAATAAGATTATCCCATTTTATACAGATAAATACATTCATAATCACTATCATTCATTCATTCATTCATTCAGTATTACTGATTGTTCATCTAATTTGATTGGAAAACAATCATGTAATTTGATTCGCTTTGAAGCTTCAAAGAGGATGTAAAAGTGAATTTTGATTAAGAAATTTACTATTATTCAAAAAATAAATAAAACAGTAGTAGGTTGTTGGTTCTAACTGAGTGATGAACCCTTAGAATGTTTTGTTTTCTTCTTCTTTCTTTCTTTGAACTCAAATTGTAAATGTAAATTTCATGGATTCATAGTGTGGATAGGTCAACAAACACACACACTACTTACTATTATAGTTTCCTAAAAGGAGTTTCATTATTTTTTAAAGAAAAAAAGAGGTATCAAAATTGTATAATAAATTAAATAAAGGACATATCACATTCAAATATTATAAGGTTATATTTATTAACAAAAGTAATTTGAAACCGATATTAGTTTAACCAGTTATTCATTGATGAATGAACATTTAATTTAAGTATATAAACAAGATGATGAATTCATGAAATTCATCACATCCATCCATTACTATTCAATTGAGTTCAAAGTGTTCAATGAGAATGAGATATTCTTTAAGACATATCTTAGTGTTTCTATGCTTTATTTGCTTACTGGCATTTGTTAGAAATGAATATATTTGTCAACTTATGCCAAACATCACTCTGGTAAGTATGATTATTTTTAAGAGAATATCTCTTCAGAATACCGGTGTCCTTGGTGAACCGATTGATAAACGTCAATATGGAGGTAATGGACTGAAGTTTGTTGTGATATATGCAGAAAGTATTCGAAGGCACCGATTATTTAATGATTTCAAGGTAAGAGTGTTTACTGTTGTTCACTTCTTCTTTCATTTATCAATTATTTTGTTGAATGAACCATGTGAAGCACTTTTTGTGTCATCATTGTGTGGATATGTTGCTAATGCATTAAATAATATGTCGATCAATCTCCTTGTTTAACCATAGAAATTCTTGCCAGTAGTATTCTCATTATTGGATTTGAATCAAGGATGAACAACATTGATCGTGTTTGAAATCAACTTTCATTGTAGACTTGTCAGGATATTTCAGTGTGAACACTGATGTTAAGATGGTCGGAGAAATATCTGGAAACAGTTGGACGAATGAATACCATAATAATAGTCTATAAAATAGTAATGGGAATTTTAACAGGGTTTCCATAGTTGTTTCTAAATTGATTATGTTGACTATATATATCTTAGGTGTATCATCATATTGATATTATATGATGTTTCATAACATGTTGTCATCATTATTGGTATTATGGTTGTTTATTTTATCACTACGCTTAATAGAATTAGCACAATGAAGTGTACTCACATTAGTTATAGAACAATTTACCAATTACATTTGAGCACTGATTTGAATTTAATCCAAGTTTTGTAGAAGATTCATCGACTTCGTAAGTATTACACGCATCTATTAAAGTGAATAATTTGAATGGTAATAGGTATTTTTTCAGAGCTAACTATCTATTCCTGGAAATCGTTGACTACTGTCCATCACCAACTATATTGTGAAAGGAAAAAACTGTTGTTTTTTATTCTACTTACATCATGTGAAGATGGATACGGGAATCTTTGAAATGCTCAACTTTATAAGCAATTAGTTTTACTTAAATAAAACATTCAAAGTATTTTAACTTATTTTGTTTTTTTATATTAGAGGGAAGTAATAGATGTAGCTTTTCGATTCTGGGAGAGAGCATTGAGTGTCAGAAGACCACCAAACAGAAAGCTGCTTGCAGAAAGGTTAGTATATAATTATTAGTACAATTCTAAGTGTTTAAGGACAAATTTTGCAATTTTAATCGTTCAGATCATGAATCAATTGAAGCTAGACCACCATAGAAAACCTAGAAGCACTGGAAGGTTGTGTGTTCGAATCTTGCGAGGCGGGATCGTGGATGCGCACCGCTAAAGAGTCCGATAATACGACTAAATGGACGTCCACAAAAACCCTTTCTCATATTGATATTTTGAGGAATTTCACAATTGAAATGACTGTCGTGTAATAAGGAAATCGAGCCATGATCTACCGTGTGAATTAATAGCAAATACAAGGGGTATAATAAACATTAATTAAAATGGTAACCACCAATGTAACTAAGGTTAAGAGGGTCCAGGTATCGTGGCCATTTCGTAAAAGGCTGATACAAAGAGCTTATTACCTAGCGTTAAGTGACGTATTAAGTACGTCATGTGTACTTGGGACATGGACTAAGCGTGCTCGTGTGCATGCAATATGTTTTACCACAGTATATCGACTAACGAGTCATAAATGTACATGATTTCGACTAAAACTTGACGGCAGTGACAGAATATATGACTAGTTTACGTGAAAGCAACTACGAAATGTTATCACGCATCATAAATATAGTACGAAATAATCTAGTGAAATTATGAAACTCGCCTAGGTTACTCTTGACTCTAAGTAATGAAGATATGAAGTAGGCAGTAGTTTGAATCTGGATTATGTACGAGGTACTGTTGATTACATTTTTCGATTAACACAGCGTTGTAGACTGACGAACAGTCTAAACGAGATCTAAGATCGCAGGAAATTTATAGTTCAAACTCACCGTGAATTTCTAGCATTCGTATCCTCTGTTTGGCCATGGAACTCAGCAATTGGAAATTAGGCAGACAGTGGTAAAAAAAAGCAGAACATTCTAGTGGATAGTGGTTAAGCAGAAAGATGAATTTATAGTCGATAGTTAATCTTGTCTTATTTATACCAGTGGATAAGTTAAAAACAGATGTGCGTTCGTGTTGCCTTGTGGCTATACTCACGAGTGGTTGATATTTTAACAGACATATTACACAGGAGCATTTACATGCTGCTAATGCTTGTTAAAGAACCACGATAGCCGATTATAATCGTAGTTGATTGGTTAGTTCTGTCGATTGAACGAATTATTTAGGTTTAAATGCTAATCAACATTGACATGAAGCAACGAAAGTTCACAGTAACAGATTAACATAGGCGATGATAAAAATGAAAAAGAATAAGTATAGAATACAATAATAAGGATTATAGTGATAGGTTGCGTTATTCGAAGTCTTGCTCACCAGTGTAGATCACCAACGTAGATGATCTATGTCGAAATGATTGGAGGCCTACTCCAGTTAGACGTGAATAGTGTGACGAACCAACTAACGTCGAAGTCACACTTCGTGGTCAGCACCTTACGTGGACTACCCCATTGACGTAACAAGGTACTATAGATGCTTTGAAGACTGTACAACACAAAGGACGTTATTACAGAAATATATTAGTTAAAGTAGATACAAGCGAAAGTAAGACCACTGCCGCATGGGCCAGTCCATGGCGTATGATTAACTAATGCGCGTTGCTTGTACATGACCTTGGCAGGGAGCGATGATCTGTTCGACATTCAGTGATCCAACTGCCGGATGATTTGGCTAGGGCTCAGTGACATTTCACTGGCCCTACAGTTGGATGAACCACGTGAATCACTGTTTGTCTGTTATAACCTTGAATCGCTTTTACCCCGTCGATACTTTATTATGACTTGACCTTGACCTGTCTAGTCTAGATTATGACCTTGGTTAATTGGCTGAGCGGTTTAACCTTGAGTCTAGTACGCGTGAGTTCGAGGTGGGGTTGAGAGAAAACTATTCTAGAACCTGATTGGCTGGCAAGCGCACAAGTGAGAGAAGACAAGACAGTTGGAACACTATGAATTCTGAATTCGGATTAAGTGCAAAAACGTACATGAATAAATAAGTGAATATCCTGAACAGAACGTACGATAATTTGGGCAAATACAATTATGTCCAAAACTAGGAATTACGGTAGAAAAAAAGGTGCAAAATATTTTGTTTAAATTACAATATTTTCGGAACAAAAGGGGTATGGCAGTGAATGATACATCGAACGAAAGCTCATGTTCTGTAGAATAAAATATAAACAAAAATAGATATGTTTTACAATGTTTGAATAAAATGAAATAACGTCCCAAGAAATAGCTTTCATAGTTTGTCCGGGCTTCTTATTTTCCTGTTCACAACAGTGTCATCATTGTGTGGATATGTTGCTAATGCATTAAATAATATGTCGATCAATCTCCTAGTTTAACCATAGAAATTCTTGCCAGTAGTATTCTCATTATTGGATTTGAATCAAGGATGAACAACATTGATCGTGTTTGAAATCAACTTTCATTGTAGACTTGTCAGGATATTTCAGTGTGAACACTGATGTTAAGATGGTCGGAGAAATATCTGGAAACAGTTGGATGAATGAATACCATAATAATAGTGTATAAAATAGTAATGGGAATTTTAACAGGGTTTCCATAGTTGTTTCTAAATTGATTATGTTGACTATATATATCTTAGGTGTATCATCATATTGATATTATATGATGTTTCATAACATGTTGTCATCATTATTGGTATTATGGTTGTTTATTTTATCACTACGCTTAACAGAATTAGCACAGTGAAGTGTACTCACATTAGTTATAGAATGAAGGTGGAGAAGGAACAGCTGGTTCACATTTTGATAAACGAACAGTTGGTGTAAGTAAAGCAGTTATTCATCTGTAGTAAAAGATCATTTTGTAATCGTCTCTTGGTCCTTCTGTTATAATGTTTCAGTAGCACCACTCGTCTGATTTACTGTGAAGTAACTTTAATAGTTGAGATCGTGATTCACTTGAAGCTAGACCACTATGGAAAACGTGGAAGGAGTGGACAGCCGTTTCGTACTATTGTGAGACTACTCAGCAGTGCACATCCACGATCCTGCCTCGCGAGATTCGAACCCACGACCTATCATTCAGTAGCCTATATTGTACTGTTATTTGATTTAACGTATCACAATGGAAAGTCAGAAGATGTGGTAATATGAACAAAAAGACTCGATAACAATCCAAGATTGATGTTTCCTGATAGTCGGTACTTATAAGATGGAATGACATACATAATTCTGATTAAAATGTTATCTTTCTGGGATTTGAGCTGGTGTTACACCTTGCTGAAAAAATGTCAATTAGCGTGAAACTTAAGTCTAGATCTTCTTGTCGAATGCTCTCAATCGTCAATTATAGAAACATAAAACATGAGATGTCAGGTTATTTAGATTAAGGATTACATCGTGAACTAATTCATGGAATTCGATCTATACTAAAGACTCTCTAATTATTAAGTAAACAACATGATATGATGATTAAATTTGGATGTTTGTTGGGAAGTCAGGTTGTTTGAATGAATATTTAAAATGTACGGGAACTTAGAAACGTGCACCATCTGATGATGTAATTCGAATGACTAATTCTGTTCACTTTGTTTATGTTTATTACAGGATGAAACAATGGCTGGTGAGACTGGAGTGAAAAGTGTACTTTCAGCATTAACATTAGCATTCTTCACGGATTCAGGGTAAATTAATACAATTAAATGTGTCGTAAATGTTTCAATCGAGAATCTTGAGTATATTTATTGTGGAGCTAATCCGTGTCAGGTAGAGACAGGTATCTACCTCATTACAATGGAGGATGGTCACACAATTTCGTGGATTGTTTGACGTTAGACATTAACACCGTTGGATGCCGTCCAGCTCAGTGGTCTACAGGTTAAGCATTTGCGCGCGAGAACGAGATCGTGAATGCGCACTGCTCTGGAGTCCCACAATAGGACGAAACAGCCGTCCAACGCTTTCAGCTTTTCAATGGTGATCTAACATCAATCGGTTTATGATCTCGATCAAAAACTTATTGGTCTCCACAACCCTATACTGATAATTTATTGTGTATTTTGAATCATTTCGCAAATTTGTTTTATGGTAATATGACATAAGATGTATCAACTGAACAATTCTTACCACTGATTTGTTCAAACAGTTAAATTAGCTCAATTTCCAATCAACATCCGAGAAAGCAAATTTAGATGAGATTACAATTGATGAACAACCTCTGAGTGATGCTAAACTGACCTTGAGAGTGTTCACCTAATAACTAATGTCTCTTGAGTTTAACTATTCTAGTTACTGCAATCTTCACAAATCACCAATCTAATCATAACTTATCACTAACTCGACACCCATACTTCAACGAAGGGTGTGTCCCACTAAGAAAAACAACCTGTTTCGGTCTAGA